TTATTAAATTTTCGCTAATACAGGAAATATTATTGTAATTTATAAGATTATACATTATTATAAATAGATTAGGAGTCAAAAAGAATGAATATGAAGTTTTGTTAATTATTAAAAATCGGCAGAGTAGAAACAGCAATCAAATAAACAATCTTGGGCATCGTCATCAAATAGAATTGTTATTGCAACTTAAATAACTTTAATATTATTATCAAATGTCGAATAAGAGCTGAAAATGATGGATATAATGATTTATCAAAATCAGTAAAGATAAGAAATAACTGCAGAATAAAATAATGGTTATTGTTGTCGAAAAGAATTGGAATTAAAAAGGATAAACATAAGGTATTATTTATTCATTATTAAAATTTTGCCGATTTAATAAATGATACTATATTTGTGACCCTATTATTGTTATTAATATGGATTATGAATTAAAAAGAATAAATATAATGCTTTATTAAATCAGCAGAAATGGGAAGAGATCGTGAAATAAACAATTTTGGTTATCATTATTGAAATGGAATTGGAATTAAAAAAGGATAAACATAAGGTATTTAACTATTTATTATCAAGTTTTGCCGATATAATCAATAGTATCGTATGCATTTTATAATCTTGAACATTGTTATTAATGTGAATTAGGAGTTAAAAGGATGAATGTAAGATTTAGCAGAGATGATCGAGAAGTAAATGGTATTGAAGGTTAAAAGAATGAACATAAGGCTTTTGTTCATTTATTATCAAGAATTTTCCGATATAACAAACCATCTATATTTTATGATCTTGACCATTGTGGACTAGAAGTTGAAAAGACGAATATATGCTCTATTATTATTGTTGATGGTAACCCCGCAAGCAAATGGATCCTAAAAAGGATGATATTTGTGTACATCATAGAAGGAGTTGACTTACGAAATGCCCTTTGCATAGGGGGGAAGGAGGAGAGGAGAGGGGAGGGATCCTACGGATCCCGGCTCTTAGGAGCCCCACCTATCTCTTACCCGCCAAGCAAATCCCTGCAACTAGCATGCCTAAACGAAAGTTCTTGTGACACCAACATATGGCACTGCATTTATAAGTAATGGTTATTATAAATAGCAGACTAATGGTTTATATTATAGAACTGATACAATTGGTTTTGGATGAGTAGACCATAGTTATTTAATTAATTTAATTTTGATGTTAAATTGTTTTTAGCCCGGGTATTATGGATTTAAGGGTTTAGCGGTTATTTTACAAACTTTAACGGAAATGTTTGTCGAGACTAAAATATTAACCACAAATCTTTGTGCACCGCAATCATCCTCTCAATATTTGGCACAAGTTTTGGTTCCGGAAACAGCGATCAGACTTATTGCAGAGGATTTTGATAATATTTCTTTAGAAGCCGCAAAAAACATTATGGTTGATAGCGTTGAGTTTGGACAATATGTTCATGATGATAGTAATTGAAAATAATAAATATTAAACCATGTTTTTGATGCAAAATAATACAATTTATTTACATTTTATTAATAAATGCATTACACTTAATCAATAAACAATATATGGGCTAGGTATTGAGAAAAGGGCCGAAAATGACAAAAAAGAACTTCGGAAAATCAATTTTTATATTATAAATCTTATAATAAATCATAAAAAATACAAACTTTAAAGAGCTATACTGTAAAATTTTATTAATACAATTACTTTTGTATCTTAAGTGAAAAGATCTTATTCGAAATTAATTTATGTAAAAAAATCTCTTGAAAAAAATTCATTTTTGGCCTTTTTTCCAGCACCTAGCCCATATAATGTAGGTTGCCATCAATAGAAATCTGACAGATTCTTTGAACAGTTCTCTATCGATGGCGGCCTCTAAAAGAAATGCTATAAATTATAATCTTTCAGGTTTGTCAATATCTACAGCCTTGAATTTCGAGATTCACCACTTAAAGCTTCAAGATTCATTTTTAATAACTAATTATTTGATAATTTAATATTCATTTTATGACAATTCACTAGCTCATTATTCTAATATTTATCTTGGATATACATGAAATAAAACAGCAAAATACGAGTCAAATTAGTAAAACGAAAATTGAATTGAAGTTGGAATAATAATTGATTTTTAATCCCAATATTGAATATTTACCTTCAAGCCCTGCTTTAAACTTATTCTCTAATAGAACAACATGACCCACAGATTCTTACAAAATGTAGTTTAAGTATCTAGCCGCAAGAATTTTTAGTGATTGGTTAAACCGAAAAAAAAGGCTGGGCTGAAAACGATCGGTGATCACAATACCGCGACCTATTTTTGCTACTAATTGTCTACCTTAGATCTCTATAGTTAAAGAAAACATGTACGTTTGCAAAAAAACAAAAAACTGAAAAACAAAATGCAAATTACCTTACTTGTAAGTTCAACAACCATACACATACAGTTTTAATATAGTCACCGTGAGAGAAATTGTAATTACAGTATTTAAAATCTTAATAAGTAACGGCTTTTTTTTTAAAAGACGATAACTATAAAGGGTCTAGCTTAATTTGTCTGAACCCCGGGGTTCAGGATAATTATCCTGAACCGGGGGTCTAGGATAAGGACGCTCTACTATATATAGAGGTCGTCTAAAGCGGAGATAAATCATGTGACTATCAGCCAATCAATTTATAGAATTTTGATGATCGTCGGCGAAGCAATACAAGAAAGAAAAACAAAAAAATCTAAAAAATACAAAAAACGGCAGTCAAAACCTGCCTTGGGTAGGTTAAGCAAAAATGCCGGGAAGGCAAT